ATTACCAGCAGCGAGACCTCCTCTGCTAGAACATCTTCCGGCGCAAGCGCAACGCCGTGGCAGACCAAGACAGGACGGGCGCTGTCGCAAAGCTCCGCAGCTAGATGAGACTGTAGCATGCCTGCCTTGCAGGGTTCTTTCTGCTGCATCACCGTGATCAGCTCATCGCTCAGAGCAGACCGGAACTCCACAGCAAAAGCAGAAGACCCATCCGGTCTGGACAGTGTGTGGAGGCTGCCATTGCTGCCATTGCTCGGGTCTGATGAATCGCGGATCTCGTGAGGAAACTGTAAGGCCATTGATCCGCGCCTGCCTGCAAACAGAAACAATCAGCACGCGCAGTAGCGCATACATGGCAACGTGACAAAGACCTGAACAATGATCTCAAAGAGTAGAAATGACTGTCATCCTGATTACGTGTGTGATCTGCAAATTTGGATTGCCCATACTTCTCTGGTACACACCCTTCGAGTATGCCCTGAAAAAGGAAATCCTGAGCTCCGTTCAAACACTCCATCACCATGACAATCGTCGGTATTCCCTTCTCAATCATTCGTCGTTCCATTCCTTTCTCTAGCTCCCCGCAGAATACAGTGCTGTAACAACCCTGCCTCCCCACCGGGGCCACGTAGATGACGAAGGTGAACTCAGGACTGGGACCTGGTTGCAGGGGCGCACTTGAAGCCTGGGAGTCTCAGGCCACGGAACGATCATCTTGCTCGAAATGAAACACGATGGCTCATAGCAAACGAACATCATATGAATTGTGCCAGCTCTAGCAAGGCGACAGCAAGCAGCAGTGCTGCAGTGCAGCTGCCAAGTGCTGTTCAACGCGCACGTGTGCAGCTGCGAGGCTTGCTGGAAATCGTTGGTCTAACAGAGTCTAACACATGATTTAAACTACCCCTTTCTGGACAAGCTCGCCTCGCTTGCAAAAAGATCACATGAGAGCTCATGAGAGTTCAAAAAAGTACAGACTTTCACGCTCCCACAAATTTGTTTATTCAAAGAAGGCTCACACACTTCAAGGGCCACGGCCCACTCCAAGAGCTGGTCCGCCTTGGCCCAACTTAAATTGCAACATTGATGCGAGCGTCCCTGCTACTTAGAGTAAGAGCACGTCTGGTAGAAACACTACTGGTACTCAGCAAAGCGCGTCAATTTCATAATCTGCTCACGCAGCGATGGCATATCGATTTTAAAGCTTGCTGGCACTAGATCCCAACGCTAAGCTTGGTGCTGGGGGAGGCCTTGGCCGTCGTGGTGGCGGTTGTGGTGGACAAAGTGGTGGCAGCAGCTGTGATGATGCTGTGGCAGCGGGTTGAAGGTGGGCTGGTGACGGCGGCGGCGGCGGCGGCGGCTCGCGGGGTCATGGCCTTTGACAAGGTTGCGGTGATAGGCAACGGTGTTGGCGACAGCAGTGGTCGTACTAGCAATGGATAAGACTAGTTGAGCATAAAGAGGTGAGTAAGATATTCGCGTCTGGGACGTGTAGTTGAACTCTGCCATACAAGACCCAAATAGGGCAAGACCTCACCGTTGGTTATATGACCTTGCCGCCGCTCGTAAAATGACCACTCATCTCTTGGATCATTCATGTGGCTCCGAAACAACCCACTTTAATAAACTACAAAGGACCCCATATGTGTAACCCTAATATTGACAATAGCTCATGTGAGCTGTAGTCTTAACTTGTTGTATCCCCCTTGGTAACCCCGTAGTCCCCTATATAGCTCGCCATTAAGGAGTTTAGACCATAGCCCAGATAGCTCAGGCCAGCACTGCCAAACAACAGCGGCCGCATGTACAGGGAACCTTTGCCTCATGACACCGCTGGTCTGCATTGATAGTGAAGGGAGCGAAACCAACGTCACGCCGCCACCACGGCACCATAGTGAAGTACCAGGCATTACAACGGCGAATCAGGCTGAGCTCGGCAAAAAAGTGCCCTTTTCAAACAAAATTAGTCCTTCTAGAATCTAGAATTTTGGGTGGTAAGCTCGGACTGACAGCAGGTAAGCAAAGATCGCAAAGAACAGCCATTCCAGAAGATAACAACGCAGCTAGGTAGCATGCACCACGGTAGCTGAAGCTTATTGAAGCTTCGGATACAGCACTTGAAGAAAGAACAAATGAAGCCTCCCTTGTCATCCAACCAAGCCGTTTGCCCCTGATGTTGCGCCTGTGGGAGGTACCCAGTCTGCATTGGAACCTGCACCAGAATTGCAGAGGAGAGGGGGGGGCGGGGGGCTTGTGGATGTAGTAAAAGAATCTCCGTGACTCTACCAGCACCATGCCTCCCACCCTGTCATCATGATCCTCATGCCCTTGAAGCTTGCAGATGCTGGGCTGCGCACGCACAGCTTCCAGACACATCTCCAGGAAGAGTTCTTGAGGCACTGGTGGCATAAGGAACCTGCTCAAGAGCTGCTGAGCCCTTAGCACTGGCCGTCTCCCTACGCCCTACGCTGCAATCTCCTGTCTCAACCCCGAAATGTTGGGCTGCAGCCTCAGACCCACTGCAGGAAACACGAACAAAAACCAGAGCACGGTTTCGAACAGGTACTGCATGTTGGGGTTGGCAGGAATCACGGGAATGCGGTCGGCCATCAGACGCGTTGACTTTCTGAGGCGCTTCGCTTCGGTGGCATGGTGCATGATCGTGCATGGCTTACAATTTGTCCAACTCATAACCGAGCTTCATATTATGCCGCAATCACTACAATGATTGTCAGCATGATTCACACACTCACACTCACCATGAAACTGACTTTGCTCCATTGCTGAAGCTATCTGGAGGCAGGCCTGCCAGCGCCCTGTGCCATTCCTGGGATGAGGCTCCAAGCAGTCAAGCAAGCAAGGAGGCAGGTAAGGAATGCCAACGGTTCACAAACCCCCAATAGAGATTGCTTCAGGCTGACAGTTTGGCCAGAGGGGGGACGGTTAGCAGTTGCACAAAGATGTTGCACTCCCTTGATGATCCTGATCCCGACAGCAGGATTTTCATGACTACCCCGGCAGACTTTCCAAGAATGTCCATTCAGCAACCGAGCATCGCTTCGCATTCATGTCAGGGCGGAATAAGACGATCCGGCCTCTTCGCTTGCAAGCACAAGAAATCACTTTCCTAGCAGCTTCCAGCGTCAAGGAAACATATGTTAGCCACCCAGTGACATCAGCAAGCACGGCCGGCATGCTGCTATGAGCCCCCAACCTTTGCTGGTGCGGAAGGCCTGCCGCGACAAAAAGACTTGCACTTTCTGCGAGAAAACGATGCATTCAGAAGAAAAAACGATGTACTCTCAGATGCAAACACTCAAGTGACCTCGCACAATAATTGCAACTAACTGCATACATCCATCTTCAAAACGGTTAACGACGTCCAATCGGCGCTGCTTCAAACATCTGAGGGTAAGCATCAACATCAGAAAACACAGCACCCGCCTTGAGACCCTCAAAGATGGACTGCCCGTAGTTCAGCGCTGTGGTCTCGGCTGCTATGGAAGGATCGGGGGTTTTGGACTTGAATGGATTCTCCACGTAAGCAGCACGTCTGCCATCCAAAAAAAAGCTCTCGAGTTGAGAACCCGCAAGAGCATCATGCCACCCAAACAGCAATCCTGAAGAGCCGTGACAGGAAACGACTGCAAAAGGAGGAAAGCCAAAAGCCTGAACAATATGAGGCCGGAAAAGAAAAAGATAAGAATGATGGTCCAGGTTCTACACCCTCCTGACATCCCTACCACTGTACACATGTATCACCTTGAGAATCACACCTGAAGAATCACTATAAGTGCTCCATAGGCTTTCAAGCAGCAACAGGATCCCACATGACCCACGGGGATGCCGACCTTGCCCCCAAAGCCTTGACGAAGCACTTTGGAACATGACCGGCCTAACCCCCAGATGCCCTGAGGACCCAAAGTTGAACCAAAGCCTAGGTGCCTCAGTTCGGCTTTGGAACCCCAAGTACATTCTACCTTGGCAATTTTGCTTTATATCCTTTCCTGACGACCACTCCAGTCTGTGCAGTCCGGAACACAGCAGGTTCGAGCTGGAGAGGCCCATAGGGCAGCACCTCGACAATTTTTTGGGATTCTCTTCTTTAGCCTTTCCACCCAAAGAAAATGGCAGTATCTGGGGCAACAACAACGACTGCAAGAACAGGCAAGATCAGGCAAGAACTACTTCGGGCAAATTCAAATTCGCGCCTCAAAGCTCGACCATTCGCCACCCGGGGGGCACTTGGCAACCTCGAGAATTTACAGCTTCGTCTGCAAACCCTGACAGCATGACAAGGGAGCATGCTCAAACGATTCTTGCCTCAGAATCTACTTCCAACACCCCGGTTGAAACTGATTTATCTTGTGAACTTGGCTTCTGTATAAAGTAAGCAGATGTTTTCTGAGCCCCAACAGTACCTCTGTTGTTTCTGCACCTTGCGAGTTAGGGTTTGTAGAGTAAGTTCTCTCTGCACATCTTCCTGGTTACCAACGCTTTTGCCTAAGTGCTATCGCTTGTTTTTAGGGGCCAGTGCTGCTGCCTACTCGGTTGCTTAGGCCCGCGCGACCATCTGGGTGGCTTTTGTGGTTAGGCCAAAGCCTAAGCCATCCCAGTCCTTGGCATCAGCACTAGTCGGATGACAGGTTTGATGTGCATGCAGACTGGATCAGGGCTTTCCTTCTGGCAGCAACAACGTGGATAGCTGCAAGGTGGGGTGTCGTAACTAAGCCCCTCCAGGCCATTCAAGGCTTCACAATTCGTGAGCACTCAGGCCCTAGACAAGATCGAATTCTGATGTACTCAGAAATTGCATGCACAGGCTACTGTGGACATTCCATTACGTCCAGGATGCCCCCGCTTGCGCATCAAAAATTGCATGTTCACATGACTCAGCATGGCCAGTCCTGCAGATTGGACAAAACAAAGGCCGTTACACGGTCCAATGTGCAGAAGCCTTGCTTGTGCTTGCTTTGAATTAAAGCGGTCCGCTCCCTCAGCTAAACCTTGAACTCGGGATTGTGAGCGGCCAGCGTGGGTGGAGCTCCTCCCGTTGTTGCGGTGGCATCCTTGGAACGCAAGTGTTTCCGGAGATTGTAGAAGCCAGCGACCAGATTGACCACCAAGAGGACAACTTGAAGCCCAATCGTCACGTAGATCATGATATTTATTGCTGATTCAGCCTGCGCCATCGCCTCGTCGTTACGGGCTTGCGCCTCCGTGGTAAAGGTCAGCGGGGTCTCCAGGACCCGCGCCTTCATGGTCCCCGGCTCCACACCTGGAGCCTCGATGATGTTGCAGAGAGTTCCGTTGGGAAGGCCAAGGGAAGCATCACAGGGTACTTGACTGGCCACCTCAGGCTGCAACAGGCCTCAATTCTTTTTTACCCGATCTACTCTGCATATCTCTTCATATGACAAACATGTTGCACCTGGATGCCCATCGCTGTTGCATTCAGCTGGGCATGGACCTCCGCCTCTTCGCCGCAGAGCCTCCTGGCTAGGGTTTCCAAACGGGACATTCTGAATGACAGGACTGGCATGTTAAACTTTGCTGGGCGCACGCGGTGTACGAGCAAATGGCAGGCTCCAGCTGTTCCGGAACCAGGACAGCCCCAGAAGAGTCCTTCTTGGGCACCATGCAGTTACCTGTACCCAGAACAGCACAGTTTCAGGAGCCAACATCATCAGGGCTTTGGGGACAAGGGGGTTTCTGTTCGGCCTCCATAGTAGCCACAGAACTGCTCTGAAGGCGTGTCGACGCAAGTCTCCAGTAGAAAGACTGAAGCACATGTCCGGATAGTCTGAGATGAGCGGCCATAGGTGATTGAGTAGCCACGGGCTGTGGCATCCGGAGCCATACCTGCCAGGAGGTCTGGCAAGGCAAATGCCGTTTCCACTTGGCTCACCATCTCACCTCTGCCCTGGATGGGGTACACCACATCCCTGGCCAAGCGGACCTTGGCCATTTCCTTGTATGGCCGGCCGACGCCACCAATTGCCAAGTCCGTAACGTTGGGGAAGAGCTCCACAGCCGAGAACCCATCAGCCAGGATGGTGATCTTTGACTGAGTTGGGTTCGTGCACCACTGACTGATAGTCTGGTTCATGTAGAGGCCATATGGCTCGGACCCTACCGGCAGGCCCATCCCCTCCGCGTAAGGGGAAGGCATGCTGACGTCTGACAGCCTGATGCCATCGGGCGGCAATTCCTCACACTGCAAAGGTGAGTAGAAAGGAGTCCAACGCATTTTCTCAGCAATTCCCCAGATCAGAACGGCCAGGTTAATCGGAGCCATGCTGAGAGCGACTATGGCCTGCACTTTTGGAGAACAGCATCCCTTCTTGCAGCAGCCCATGGCTCTGGGAACAGGAGAAGCTAGGAGCGGCAGCGGCTGGAGAGTAAATGGCTGGGCCAAGCAAAGGACTGTAGAAGAGTGGTACATGCTGATTCATGCCGAAAGCTCTTGCGCAAGAAGGCTGATAACTTGCGTCCAGGGCACAACTCCCTCGCGAGGCTGCGGGGCAGCATCTGCCTTCGAAAACCACTGATTTCACTTGTGCCATTTTCTGAGGTGTTCTGCAGGAATCAGACTTGCGGACATCCCAGTACAACCAGCTTTCGTTGGCTACTGGATCCCTTCTCGCTCGTGCCGCCTGCCTTCACAGCCGTACGTCGAGGCACGTTTATCCTACGGAGCAAAACTCGTGAGGACCACAGCTGTGGCATCACCGCGATTCGCAGGCCTCTGGCCACCATTCACAAAGCACGTCGTGGCCAGCAGGGCCAAGACGCAGGCCTGCGGCCAGTTTGGGGGTTTATATGGAGGTTAGATAGGGCTATATAGGGCTTATGGAAACAAAAATGGAAACTGTTATATTAGAATTGTGTATACTTTGGGATAATATAGGGTCATATATTAGTCCCCTCACACCTTTGCTGCTTGCCAGGGGCCCGAGCTCCAGTTCTCTTGAGAGAACCCCGCACCATGGAGTCTCCAGATCGGCTCCGAAACCGGAAGTGCATGTCCCTTGCATCTTTCTGCAAGATTTGCTGTTCATGCTACTCCATGGAAATTTAAACTAGACTGCTGGTTTCAAAGGGACTGCACCAGAGTTGCTGGTTGGTTGGGTCATGCCGGCTTCATGTCTAGGCTTCTCGTTTGTGAAGTGTTGCTGTTGTTTCAGTCGCTTGCTTGCATGGCATGGCCATAGCAAGGTCTTCACCTTGGAGAGCCGCAATTGCCGCAGCAGACTATATGATCCCTATATCGTCCCAATTTGTATATATATATATATATCTCCTATTATAATGGAGCAGTTTCCATGATCCCTATATAACCCCTATATAACCTCCATATAACCCCACAATTATTTGGCGGCTGTCGGCCACAGACTTTCAACTTCCATCTCAGCCATTCATCCCGTCTGGCCCTTTGTTGGGGGAATATCCCTATATGTCCCTACATGCCCCCATGTAAGCATGATCATATGATCCTATATACTCTGTATATGGTAGTTTCCCTAAATAAGGGGATCCCAATATAGACCCCAATATACTCTAATCCTTATTATGGGACCCCTAAAATGGTACCCCTAATTTTGGGAAATCCCCATATCTCCCTATGTAGCCGCCACTTTAACTTTGCGCACCTTTTCTGCTCCAAGCAACTCAGTCCACCAGCGCCGCCTTGGACTGCGTCAGCGCCTGGTGCCGCCACAAATAATCGTTTCTATCTTATTTTCCGTTATCCCAATACAACACCCATGTAACCCCTATATAGCCCTTTAAGTTTTGCAATTCTTTGCTTTTGTTAGCTAGGAATAAAGGGGTACATTACCCCAAGCATGGAGAATCAAATGGAAAATGAAATGGAAACTGGGGGTATACAGAGATTACCTTGAAGCTGTTCTGAACCGCCACGGTTGAATGCGAGTGCTTTTGCAAAGCGCCTCGATCTCAGCCTGCCTCTTGCCGCTGATCTGGTCGAAGCCCTCAATCAGGGAGTTGCACTGGGCCTGCCGTGTTTTGAGACTCCCGATGCCCATCCTCCAGGAGCCTACTGAAAAAACTGCAGCCTTGAGGTTGGCTTTCTGCGTTGCCAGGTCGCTCTGCTCCTGATGCAGCTCACTGACATAAAGCTTCCGAGGCCAAATGGCCCCTGCTGTCCGGATATCCAAGAGTCACGGCTTGCAACCCAAAAACGCAAAGGAACACCTGAGAACTTGAAAAGATCCTGTGCGTTCAACCTCACATCTTGCCCGCTTCGGAGAAGATCTTTCTTGGCTGTCGCGATCCTCATAGCTTTGCAGGGTGAAACGCAAAAGCAAAGTGTCAAAGCAAAACAATGACAGGCTGACAGGTTTCAGGCTCTGCAATGGAGCAGCACACATCATACGTCCTGAAAACCACAAGCCAGCCGAGTCACGCCCGCGACTTGGCAATGATGTCTGTCTGCAGCGACTCGAGCATTGCCTTCGTCTCCTGTGTGAATGTGCGGCCAGATCTAAGTTCTTGTTGTCTGTTGGCCATCAGCGCAAATGCCGCTGTTGTTTGCAAGAAGCGGGAGCCAGCTCATTGCCCTTTTACTTTTGGCTTTCTGTGGCTCAAGGCCGCCGTACGCGCAGTTCCCTACCTGTTTCAAGAAGAGCAACGAGTGCCGTAGCGCCAGGCAGCTGTACTCAAACAGCCTAAGATACAAAGGTACGAATTTAGGGATATTACATTGTTAGGGGTGTGGGGTTCATCATGATTAGCAGAGTGGATTCATCAGACAAAGAGTGGGCATAGCCATGACATCGCGGTACAAAGGGAACCGCAATAGCACAAATGCTTATGGATTTTCATGAGCACGATGCACACGGAAGAATTGCAGCGCACTCCTCGACGAAGCGACCATAGCTGGCCTAGAAAGCTCAGAGGTGCGTTGGTAGTCAGAATCGTGGATACAAGTATCCCCTTTAATAAGCCCCCTAATAGTCCCCTATAAGCAAACCAGCTTCACTCATGATAGCAATTACCTGCGAACCTCCAAGCAGGAGAGGAAGAGGTTGGTGGATCTCTCTCTCACACACATCTCACACACAGAGGGAGAGGAGGTTGCTTGTGGGAACTTGGGAAGTGAATTCCTTCACAACAGGAATATCCTTAAGGGACTCCTCTGGACTTCCTGATCTGCGGTCGCCTTGAAATATCAATCCATAGCTAGCAAGTGAAGCACCTTCATTAGCTACAGCTACACGTCCTTTTCCCCCAAAGGAGCGCCCTCTGCAACGTAAGATGACTTGCAGCGACGTGGCTTCTAAATCTTACTGGCCCTTAGTAAAGGACAAGGGAATATAATCCCTATACAATCCATATATACTACTTTCCCTTATTCCCTACTAAGGACCCGTGAGAAATTGAGTGGGGCAGGTGTGGAGCCCAAGCCATTGAATTACTGGGGGTTGGTAGGAAATGAAGGAATATATTACGTGTATAGGAATTGTTTTCCTTTATTCCCTAAGGTGAAGGGAGCTCCTATACCTTAAATGGCCCCAAATGGCCAAGATCCTAAACTGGATTACCTCCCTATAGATTTTGAGCTTGAAGACTGGCCTCTGCTTGGTTCTCCGCAGTCGCAGCTTTGTCCACCTCGCTTATCAAAAAGAACTGTAGGGTTCTTCTTGGGCTGGGAGTTTGGGGTAGAGTCAAGCGGCCAGCGCCCTCGCATCCACTATGAGCGTCTGCAGTAGCTGCAGGACGGTGCCCCCCATCTGGTTCTTTTTGTAGCCAGCTGCCTGTTGAAAAATCTGGGTTGCTGTTAAGGAACTTAGGTTAAAGTTACTGTATTGGGGAAACCCTATTATTTACTATATATACCCACTATGGTAACTTAATTTAAGTTCCTTAACAGCAACCCCGAAGGGCATGATAGCTATGTAGATCAGTGTGTCTATGTGGTATGACCATGGCACATCCATAGACTTGGAAGGAGGCGTTGGCGCAAAGCTGCAATCACTTGCACAGCCTTTCCCTAGACACCTTCAAGCATGAATCGACATGGACCTGGCCCTGAACAGTGCCTGCGGTGGCGCCTGCAGGAAGGATGAACTCCCGTAGATCCCGGAGAGCTTCCGGAAGGCCTTCAGGACCGCCCAAAAAGATCAAAAAGCCAGAACAAAGGTCACTGGCCTGTTTGAGGGCGCGGATGGTCATCTGCTGATCCCACTGCGTCTTCTGGAAAGCCGACTGTTCCTGCTTGCGCTCCTCCCCCGCTGTCTGCAACTGCTGCTTCAGCTGCTCTCGCTTCGTAGCAGTTTGGTCCAGGTCTCCTTGCAGAGTCTTGATGTCCGAGGACATCTGCGATGCCTGGAGCTCCAGAGAAGTCTGATGATCTGCTGCAGCCCTGGCGGCGCGCTCGTTCTCAAAGAACTCCTGCTTGCACCAGTTTTTTTTCTTGGCATCCAACTGCTGCTGCTGCTTCAGCTCTCGGATCATGCCATCAATGGCATCTCTCACCTTACTGAAGGAGTCGCTCTCCGCTGCTACAGCAAGGTCTTCAAGGGAGCGGGAGGTCTCCGTTCCGAGTGTCGCTGTCACAGCCTCGCGCAAGGTCCTGGTGGCCATCGCGCGCGCCCCTGCCTTTGTGCGTGTGCTGGCTAACCTCAGAAGCTCATGAGCAAGCCGAGAAAAGACTACGAACCTGGCCAAGGCTTTATTCTGCAGCTGGGGAGCTGTAGGAAGCTTACCACTGTTGAGGGACCGTCTGTCAAGACCTGGCCGGGCAGGTGATCGTACTACGACGGTATAGCTAAGCATTTGGATATTTGGCAGGTTTGGCTGCGAACTGCCAGTAAACCCTGCCGATGCCGCCTGGATGGCCTCGGCAATAGCAGCATCCTCCTGATGCCGTGCCCCTGTGCGATCCCGGTACCCATGCTCTGCGTCCTCCAAAGCAAGCTTAGATCGCGAGCAGCTCAGGTTAGGCAATTTACTGGTGGTGCCAGTAGGGAAGAAGGGAATAGAATCTCTATGTAATCCCTATATAAACCATGCATAATGCATTCCCTTACTCCCTACTAACCCCCCAGTAAGATTAGTCAAGGGGTCGAGGGTCCTCACAGCGCTTGGAAACCGTCGCCAAAGCCTCCCTGCTGGTTGCAACCACCTGGCACAAAATGTGGCAAACTTGTTACCCCTAAATAACCTCCATTACTCCCATATAACCCCATATTATCGTTATATGATCCTATATTAACGCACACTTCACCGGGAATTGTCGTTCTTATCAGCATTGCACTTCTCAATCACATCAAATGATACAGTACTTGCCTTTGGTTAGCTAGGAATGAACGAATGGATCCTTATAGTAGTCCCTATATAACGCTTAATATTAGTTTCCATGTTCTTTTGCATTCCTTCATTCCCAGCTAACCAAAGGTAATGGTATGGTGCTTGGAGGGTTGCAGAAGCTGCTTCTCCCATCACATGTCTTTTTCTGATAGACCTAAATCTGCATTGCTCTTTGATCTGTTGTGGCTATTCGAACAATTCTACAGCTGGCAAGCCAATATCAACAGAAACATGTCCCATGCACCTTGCCCAGCTGCTTCTTGTCTGATTTGGCGAGGGCGATCGCCTGGCCGCGACAGAACCTATTTGCAATCCAACAGGGAGGCGCAGACCAGGAGGCTAGGACCATGAGAGCAGACGAAAACCCGCTATCTCAGCAGTGGGAACCCTTCCTTTTCGGGAAGACACCCACTGCATACCTTACCCCAGCCTCGCTGGCGTGTGCCCTCTCCTTCTTCTTGACGTCCACCCTGCCGGCTGCCTGATGGATCTCCTCTGCACAGACGCTTAAGCATACGTAATCCATAATATATGACTTTGTTTTAATACCATACAAGCTGTCCGTGCTAAGACTCCGAACAGTGAAAATGATAAGCGGACGCGAACACTGTTGCGAATAAACATCTAAGGCCTCTTATGCGGCCCTTTTTTGCAGATAACAGTTGAAAGGTTGACATGTCAGATGCCGTTGCCGTTACGAGCTTTGTTCTGCCTTCTGGTTGCGATTCTTTGGGTCAGGTGCCAAGAATCACGCATTCGAAAACCAAAGCTGGCAATGCCACTTTTCAGGAACCATGGCTCCAGCCGGGACTCAGAATTGACTCAACTGACTCAATGTCACCCCCCCATGCCAAATTGTAAGAAAGTGAATAAACATACGCGCGCTTCGCACAGCGTCACCAGGCGCTACAATGTTACAAAGTCTCAGGGGCAGGCATCGCGTCATGAAAAAACATGTAACTTTCAAGAGGAGCGCAGACCTGTGTACAGTGTGATTGGCAAGTTCACCGCAACCCTCCCAACCCTAGCACTGTAATATCATGGGCCAACACTAAGATCCCAATCAAGGGATCCTGCGCCTCCGAAAAGTGACCTTGTCCCAAGTTATCCCCTCGATGTATTGTATTGCAGTAGATTCTAAGTGCCTCCCAGAAAAAAGAAGGGACTCTGAGAGCAAGATCCGTGCTCAGTCCTCTAGCCGGGCCAAACGAAGCTCCTCAAACTCCTGGACCGCCTGAGCTTCCTGCACGTTCTCTTGATGTCTTTGCACTTTGCATTTTTGAGATTCTGAGATTTTGACCCTGCTTACCTTCTGGGTTCTGGGGATTGTTCTGCTGAGACAATCTGCGCCTCCTGAATCTGATGTCCCGGGCTTTTTGGTGCAGACCCTTGCAGTACTGACATGTTTTGATTTCTGCGAGTTCAGAAGGGTGGATGATAGTCCTTCTACTGTTATGGCTTTAATTCCTGCTGAGTTCCTGCTTTCTCTCATCGTTCTTGCGCGTAATGCTATCATGCAAGTGTTCCTTGATGCTTCTTTTGATGCTGGCCTTGCCGGATGTTTGAGTTGCCATGAATATGATGCTGGTTGTAATGGCATGTCAGCATTGCTACTCTTGCAGTTTCTTGCCACCACTACAGCTACCAATTCTACAGTTACAGGAAGAGCTCTCCGACCACCGTCGCATACAACCAGTTTCAATTTCATGTTCCATTTTCTTGTCTCCTATAGCTTCCTATATCGCCCTATAGCACAGCGAAAACCGCACTGGATCTCGGCAATTGTTTGGGGTTCAGAGTTTAGGTTGTAGGGTTTAGGGTTTAGGAAACCCCTCAGATTTTTACGTCTGCCGGGCACGACACGGGGTTCTTGCATCCAGCTCAGGAAAACGTGTTACTACAGCTAAGCGTCATCAACATTCTCTGCTACCCCTTCAGTCCCTAAACCCTAAACCCCTAAACCCTAAACCCCTAAACCCCTAAACCCTAAACCCCCCCCCTAGTTGATGACTCTGCAGGTGGACAACCCTGGCTCCGTCACAACTTGACCCTGTTCAACCGGCTGTGGATATAGGTGGTTGTCAAAATTATGGTCCCTTTCTGGATCCCTATTATAATACGGCACCTATTATTTAGGGTACCCAAAGAGGGACCATAATTTTGACAACCACCCATATAGATGAAGCCATTAAACTTCCGGCGGCGCAGCTTTGGCCCAGGGTTTAGGGTGTAGGCTTTAGAGTTTCTTGGAGCACCCTTCCCTGTTGAAGCAAGGGCCCGGTCCTTCGTCCGAGCATCCTTCAGATCTGCCTGCAAAGGAGCAGTCAACCCGTATAGCTATTGTCGTAGTCGTCATAGCAGTAGTACTGGTAGCCGTTAGGATCACAATAATGCGGAGTAGTCACCTACCTATGCTCTCTTTCCTTAGACCGAAACTTATGCTCTGCAAGAACGAAGAGAGCCTTTCTTGCTCTGCTACTTATCAAGTTTTACCCATTTGGCTCCCCATTTGCCGCCTCCATGGTTGACATCATCTGCTGGAACATGCCGATGAGCTCGCCAGTCGATCCGGGGCTGTAGATCTCCTCAGACTTGGGATAGGTCAGGCGTAAACCTTGACGCCAAACTTGATGAGAAGTGTACGCACGAACCCCATGATCTCTTTTGAAGCTTACAACATAGCTCTAACCATGATTCCTGCACTCATCTTGAGCTGCTCGAGAGCAACCTCTCCGGATGCAGTGCCATAAAGCTTTACAATGCTGTGACCACCAAACACAACGAACTCGGCAGAATTGTAAACCTTCTCCAAACATCGGCATCAGCCGCGTCTTGCAAATGCAAAACAAGCATCTGAAACGTTCTCAAATGTCTTCACATGGCACAAAAGCAGGCTAGACAGCATTTTTGCTACAGTACGATTGAGTCTGGCAATGCACACGCTCTTCGCAACTTCAAACTACTCAGGCCAAGTGCTACCCATCCAAAACATCACTCCCTTGACGCAGAGTCGAAGTGGACGTTCAGGAGTACCCGAGGCCTTAAAATGAATCTTTCTCATGAGCAAGACCCTATCATGTTCTTTGCGCATTCTGCTGGAAAGACTGCTACTGCCACTACAAACCGTGGGCACGATGCCGTCACAAAGATTTGTAGAACCGTGTCAGCAGCAACCCTCGAACCCTAAACCCTGAATCTCTAAATCCTGTATCCCAAACGGCGAGTCAATAGATCCTGAAGCCTTGAGTAGCAGGTTTGAAAAAATTAAAAACTTGTATCTCAAGACTGCATGATCTCGGAATATGGCGAAGTAGGTAGATCCTCTTATTTCCATGTTCCCCCTCTTCTGGCATCTGCTAGAAGAGCATTTCCGAAAATTCGGAGTCCCTTTCTGGGGGTCCGCAAAATGAGGAGTAGAAAATATTGCGCTTGTGTTTGGTCCCCCTGTTTATGGAAACTCCCAAGTACCTTTGTGAAATCACATCCTTACCTGTATATCCCTATGTGATCACAATATAGAACAGTTTCCACCTCATTTCCCATCCTGGTGTACATGTGATTCTTCATTATCGACCCTGACGCCTAAACGTATAATCAAGCCTAAATAGCCCCATATATTCCCGTATAACCCTATATAACCCTACCCGAAATCTCAAACCCTAAGCCCCTTATATAATCCATTATAACCCAGACTTACGTAACCTGTATAATAACCCAATATTACCCCAATATAACCCCAATATTACCCCGACACAGCCCCAACATAACCCCAATATAACCCCAATGACCCTAAGGCAGGGCACGAGGCTTCGTCCCGACTGCGCAAAGGACATCGCGGCTCCCAGGCCCCGATTCACGAGGGCCTACCCGGACCAAACAAAGATTAGGGTTTTAGGGTTTAGGGTTCATGGAATTTAGGGTTTTAGGGTTTAGGGTTCAGGATTTAGGGTTTAGGATTTAGGGTTTAGGATTTAGGGTTTAGGGATTCAGCATGTGGGCTTTAGGGCTTGTGGGGATGTAAGGTTGTGTAAGGTTGTATGGGGGGATACTCTAGGTTTGGGGCTTTAGGGTGCTGAGGCTTTTGAGTGTCTTAGGATTGAGGGCTCAAGGATTTAGGGTTGAAGAGCATTTCAGGGCTTAAGAAGGCTTTTGGGGATTTCAGCTCAGCATTGTGAGCACCTAACTTTATGTATTTACCTGCGCGGCGTAGCCGGATATTGTAGTATTTTCTTCAACGCGCGGAACATCCTATACACGTTGCAGGATCAATAGCCGACTAAGAAAGCCGAGAGTAGCGTCTCAGCCTCAGAAGCCCCCAGATTCCTGTCTGGCAACAATACTGTACAGGTGTGAAACCGCCTCTTCGTCTGCGGACCAGCCATCAGGACCGGCAGACGGGTCTGGGCTTCCTGGCATGGCTTGGCGAAAGAAAAAGCTTCAAATCCAAACCAGCATCCTCTTGATGACAGCAACAGGTTTTCCCAAACGCTCAAAGGTCTTATAGCAGCAAGAGAGGCCATAGCCAAGCCCACTCAAGATCTCCTGCACCGGGATCTAGCCTAAATAGCCCAAATTTAATCCCTATAGCCTCGGAGTCTCCTCTCCGTCATCTCGACAGCCCCGCCGCTGGCCTCGTCCCTGCATCAGCTGGCACGGCAGATTGCTATGCTGCGGGTAAGGCTGCATCCGGGGACTTCCAACAAGTATGGGCCTTTTCCTTTTTTTCTGTAGTCCCCATAAATGTAACGGGGTCCATATTGAGTTCCCCCTATTTACGAAAACTGCCATCTTCGACTGTAGCTGCACTGTAGCTCTTCGAGATTGCTGATCCAGCACTGGTTCTCAGGATCTTGACGCTGACGATGATTCATTCCAGGCCCCAAGTGTGCGCAGCGATGTGCTAAGCTCTGCAGTTACAAACTGAAGACTACATCAAGGGGCAGGTGCCCGCTGCCCTAAACAAAGTGGATCTGTCAAAGCTTTTGTTTCTTGGTTTGTTGTTTTCCCAAAATAAGGGCTAAAGAGGCGCTTAAGCGGTACTCTACAATGTCTCGCAGCGGCCTAGGTAAACCCGTATTGAGGAAGTCCTATTTCGAAAATGACTAGGATATTGATGGACCTTGTATAATGCAGATACCTGCTCTAGGGACTCCCAAAACGAGGCTCCTAATCTTTGAGAAACTCCCAAATAAGTTTACAAGAGCAAGCACCTCGAGTCGCCCCAGAGGTCGGAGAAAGGTGACGTGACATCAGAGACCTGAGGCTCTCTGAGGACTCTGTGCTGCCTGTTCAAGCCTTATACAGCAGCTTGAAGCCCGAATGTTGATGAATCTTCCGCATGCGGGGGCCCATTGGAACAACATGATTGTCAGTGACAGTTGGCAGAGAGTGGAGCGCCATGGAAGAAATCCTGAAGGCCTAGTAGTTTGCGGTGATGCCGTTTGGAACTGCCTTGGAATTTGATATCACTGAAGAAACTAGGCATTACATCATGAGCTCCAGTCAATATTTCTCACGTAAGTAATGGACGTAGGTTTCCATTTGGGGAATGTAGTAGGGACTATACTTGACTGCCAAAGCAAGCCCTATGTCCACCCTCACTGGTCCCTTGCTAAGTCTAATATCGATGGTAGCTCTTTTTAAAACAACCGTGCTCGGAGGAGAGAGAGAACATGCCAACCTTGATCCAGAGAGCCAGTTCTGCTACTCAACCAGGACTGCGACAAAGGCAAGCTGCAGATTTGGATACCAGTAGCCTGCATGTAAAAAGAAACTGACCCCAATATAGACCCCCAAACATCATATAGTCCTTACTGGGACCCCCAAAAGGGTACCCCCAATTTGGGGGAAAAAACCCACTTATCTAGTCCTCAGCAGCTGCAGCCTAGTCCTGCTGTTCTTGAGGTGACTTTGGCCACCATACAGAAGATCTGAAGGAATGAAAACGACAATGGAAAGCAATCCCTACACATAATAGTGTCCATTAAGTTATCCATGTTTTTCCCATTTGATTCTCCATTATCCCTATATATGGAAGGAGCCATTGGCCCCTAGTATGGCCCTTGACCAAGGAATCCTTATATACCCATTATATACCTTATATGTACCCTTAAGGGTCCCTAGAATCCGCCTCAAAGGGCTAAGGGCCCATGTGAGGGGCCCACACTTCTAACCTTACAATATAATCCCTGTACACAACCCTAGACCCTAAACCCTTTAATATACTAGCTTCCATTGTCTTTTCCATCTGATTCTCAACTAGTACACTCCAAGAGTATGCCTTGAGCCAAACTCTCCCAATCTGCTAAAGCATCCTACAGCCAATTATACCAAAGTCTCTATATATATATATATAAATATACAGTAAACTATTATATACTTGGTATTCTGTAGCATGTTACAATATACTACATTAATTGAGCCGCTGCATACTACCGCAAACCAGAGTATATATAGAGCACACTATATTCTATGATAATACATTGCAGCATACCATAGCCATATCATAGTTTATGAGCTATAGTCTAAACTCCTAGTATCCCCCTTAATAACCCCTATAGTCCTCCCCTATACAATCCCCTACATAACCCCCCTTTAAGGAGTTTAGACCCTAAACCCTAAACCCTATATAACCCTATACAATCCCCTATATTAACCCCCTGTCAGGAGTTTAGACCACAGCCCACATGGCACCTCTGACTCCCCGCCAAGCTCCGGCGTCATGGTGGTGGGACTCCTCAGCACCGAGTCAGCGGAGCTCATCTCTAGTATACTGTATTATGCTACAATAATTTGCTGTAGCTTATTGTAAACTACTATAATATACTATAATATACTATAGTATCACACACATGTATTATAGTATATTGCGCATCTGGCTGTGTTGCATGATGTCCATTTATCGGAGTGATGTTGCACTCAATATACTGAAAAGACATGGTTAAAGGGTTTGGGCAGGCCTTTATGCCACGTCAGGCTATTGTTTGAAGCCCATGTTCAATGTGGGGCCCTGGAAGAATCCGGACCATTCCCTATGAAGTTATCCTCAGCGCCCTCAGCGCCGTGGCATCCTTATTCAGGACGCCCATATTCTGTCTGTCTGGGGTGCCCTAGTGCTGGGGGGTCTCTGAAATGTACAGTATTAACAGAAGCTGCTTCGCTGCTCGGTGCAGCTGGCTTTGGAAGACCTTGCTTCGCCTCTGGCACACCCATTTGGTAGATTCCCAAAATCTAAGGGGACCCCAATTTAGGCCCCAAAAATACTTTAGTCCTTACTATGGGTACCTCCAACCCCTACTTGGAAACCCCCATTTTACTATCGACTTCAATGCGAGTGGCAGCAACATGCGTGAAAATGTCGGAAATCCTAGTGAAATAGTATACTGTAATATACTATAATCTACTCTAGTCTACTATAACATACTCTGATATACGATAATGTACTATCCTTGTGAAATAGTATGGCAACGCGTCCACTTCTGGATTGCAGTAACGCCCATAAGCCGGCGGCGCATGGGAGAACATTTGCATGAAGGCAGACATCTGAGGCCTGGGGGAACTGCGCTGCAGTCCCAACATCAGAAATGGGGGTGTCCAACAGTGCGGGGTCTCTTTTCTGGGAGTCCTCATAGAGGATATCGTATTTTGGTGTCTGTATTTGGGTCCCCCTGTTTTTGGGAAACTACCGAATTGCATCTACAAGAAAAGGAGACGCAGGTCTCAGGCCGACGCAGCGCCGTCTGCCCAGTCTTCTTTGTCAGCACTCCGATAGCCGCCTGAAGGTTTAGGGTACAGGGCTGTTTGCAATGCTTACAGAATGACATGTGAGAGTCTGAACTCCTAGCATCCCCCTTAAAAATCCCTATAAGCCTATAATACTCCTCTATGTAATCCCCTATATAACTCCCCTTCAGGAGTTTAGGCTACAGCTCCAATGCCTTGCATGACAACGCATGGCCGCATTGCATGTTGGCGAGAAAGGCATTAAAAATAGTATAATGTGGATAATGGAAAATAAAATGGAAACTACTATAATGGAGAATCAAATGGAAAATAAAATGGAAACTACTATAATGGGGAATCAAATGGAAAATAAAATGGAAACTACTATAATGGAGAATCAAATGGAAAATAAAATGGAAACTACGATAATTGAGAATCAAATGGAAAATAAGATGGAAACTACGATAATGGAGAATCAAACGGAAAATGAAATGGAAACTACTATAATGGAGAATCAAATGGAAAAGAAAATGGAAAATGAAATGGAGTATATTCAGCCTAGGCCCCAACTTTCTGGTCCGCTCTCGAGTCTTCACATCCCCCCCCTTCTAACTGAGGCATTCCACCTTTCATTACCCGTGCGAAGGGTGCTCCAAAGAATTAAGCTTAGTGAAAGACCCACAAACCACTGAGGGTATATCATAGTATATTACAATATATCATAGTATATTCTAGTATATTATAATACAATATGGTAAACTATAATATATTTTAGTATTTTAGAGTATATTGTAGTAGAATGAAACATATTATAGTATGTTGTAGTATACTAAAGAACCCACAAACCACTGAGGTTCGTGAGGCTTCTTGAACTTGGGTCAGTCATCTCTACGCAGCCAGGAAAGTTTGACTACTAATCATATAACTGTTATTGCCCATTATTGCTATTTTTCCCCTTTATGACTATTTTCTTATTATCACTACTCCTGCCACAACTCCACTCAGCCTCAGAAACTGCCATGAAAACATCCCAGGTGATTGCGAGGATATTTTTAAGAAATGGAAAAGGAGAATGCCACTGAAAATGCCTGCAAAGCACAGAGTACAGAGTACAGAGTACAGCGTAGTTTTCCCGCGTTTGCAGCCAGACATGGAGCCTTCAAGCTCACCAGGTAGGTGGCAGTGTCGGATTCATAACCTGATGGCAATTCAAAGCTGCTACTGATGCGCACTACACTTTGACAACAGCATCCCAAAGAACCCAAAAAAAATCGCGGCAATCACTAGCCGGTAGCAGAGGCTTCAGCTATCGAACTTCTCTTTCTCGTCCTTTCGCACGCCGGCAGCCTGCAGTGGAGAGAACTGGCACGAACTCTGCATGCGGTCGCGGATGCCCAAGCTGCCGCCTAAACAGATGTTTTCAACCAGCTGGAAGGCCAAAAATTTGCAAAAGAAAACACCTTCAACCGCGAAACGCACTTTGGTTCCTCAAAGCATTTGAAACACTTTGACCCGCCGACGTGTGAGAATGCGCGCGAACTTGGCTTTCAGGTAATTTCTGAGCCAGCCCTTAGCAAGCGCGATAGCGACCCTGAGCGGGCGGACCCTGCGCCTTTGAGGTATATACAGTAGTTTTCCATGCCACCAAAGGATTGAGCTGGGAATCCCCAGACAGTAGAAAGGACTCGCCGAACCTTCATAGCCCCATTCATTGGAGTCGCTCAAGGGACGAGTCACTTCTTGACATCTGATGACTCTCTGTGACTACGACAGCCGCCCAAGCAGGCAAACACGTGAAGCCTCTGGAAACATTGTGAAAGCTTGTTTGCGAGTGCTTGCTGGATGGCGCCATCTTCCTCTCGTCCCTCCGGGTGTTTGCTGTCAAGGCTCTCTTTTGGAAAGGACATGGATGGAAGGAACAACATAAACGCAGGGCAATGAGGCAGCCCCTTTGCAGCTTCAAAGAAGGCTCCTCAAAAGCTGGCCTTCTCCATGGCCTTTTGTCCATCAGCAACTTGCTGCTGCAGGTCCTGTTCACTTGCCATGCAGGAGTGGGGAATGACGACCTCAAAGCATAGCATCTGACTTGGGACGCCTTGATGTGAGTCTCCAGTTGCACACGAGATGCAGACAAGCTGTCGAGGGACGACCTGGGATCTGGGTCTACCAGCAAGACAGTCTGACCATCTCATCATGATCACAAACAATCTTTCTAGGCTGACTATTGTCGCCCTGCTCCATCGGCCCTCGTTCTTGCCGCTGTCGTGTTCCAGACGAATTGCTTTTGATAGCGCGTTCCATACATCCCTCATCACAAATGCGGGTCTTGGAGGCATAATTCAGTGACGCCCGCTGTGCTTGCTTGCTACTCGCATCTGTAGAAAAACTGTGACAATTAACTTCAGCTTGGCGCCTGGCTCAATCTCGGCAGTCTTTGCCTTGGAGCCACGAACTTGTCGGTGAAGTCCAAATGCAGCAACAATGAACACACAGAAAGCCTTTGAAAAATGGAACCTGTTCGTCGTCTTGCTTGGGTTCCCAAAGATACGAGCCCGACTGGTGAAGCCCATTAGGCGATGTGAATCCAGACCTATCATTGGACATCTGGAAAAGCTGGGATCTGCGGAACAGACTAAGTTCTTCGAGGCTATGGCCACCCCTTGGTCGATGGTGTCTGTCTTTTCTTTCCTGGGCCCAACAAACAACGAACAATGACAGCAAAAAAGGAGCATGATACTGATCAGTAGAGTCCTACAAAGGTTTCAATTGAGTAGTATCGTTTGCATCAGGAGTATCAGGAAGAGCAAAAGAACCGAGAAAGGAGAGAAGCTGATTCTCCGGGGGCTGTCTGGTCTCCAGCAGCTAGCACGCCTCAAGCATCAAAGGCCTTGAAGATCGAACAGCCTGAGACCTGCCTACTGCTTCAGGGCCCGAGCTTCTCAGCAGCGCACCAGCCTCAGCTTCAGTAAAGTTACACTACCATGTATAGTCCCCCTTAAGTAGATAGAATTATTGGGATTATATAGGGGTTATATAGGGATAATGGAAAAGAGAATGGAAACTACTATAGTATAGTAGGGTATAGATTGGGGTTATAGTCCCCCTTAAG